GTGTTATTATGTTCGCAACTATTTTTAAATCAGATGATTATCAATTTATCTAATTTGTCTATTTCTATTCTTAGCCCTAATAAATAAATTTTTGCTTTAGACATTTAACAGTGCCTGTTTCCTAGTTATATAAAATACTAAATATAAAGTAAAAATATCTTCTACTAATATATATGCTTCACAACTAATAAAAACAAAAAATTTTTTGAATATATACTATTGGTTAAAATTTAGCTTTGTTATATATTTGAAACTTATAGTTAAAAATGATTTATATTCATACATCATATGATTATATGTGTAATATTATGATGAGATACCCTACCCTTAACAATTCTATTTTTCTTCTTAATATCATCATTTTTCATAAATTCATCTTTAACACACCTAACATCTACAAATTCATTTTCTTATCAATTATTACTCTTTATTATATTACCTTTACCTACAATGTTTTCATCAATAATTGGTTCTTTCAAAATTACAAACATTATTTCACTATAATTAGATCGAATCATATAACAACATTTTCTATTTCTATCCAAAACTATACCTTGTTTTTGCAATCTATAGCATTTCAAGAATGGCATCAAAGTTAATTCATACATCATATAAAATTCTTCAACCACTATAATCCATCACATTGATTTCAATACCAAGAATATATCTAACAACTTTATCATTTTCATTCAAATGTTTCCAAGTAAGTTCTTTGCTTATCATATATATATCATACTTATTAAATTCAAAGATAAACTAGCCTAATTATTGCTTTGCAATACCAAGAATATATCTAACAACTTTATCATTTTCATTCAAATGTTTTCAAGTAAGTTCTTTGCTTATCATATATATATCATGCCTATTAAATTCAAAGATAAACTAGCCTAATTATTGCTTTGCAAATTCTTCATTTATTTTCACCCTTTTTACTGCTTTATTATTATTGTCAACCTTCTCTTTTATTCGATTTGAAACTTTCATACTATGTTATCAACATTCAATATTCTCCTTTTTATCAACATATACATGATACATTTTCATCTACTTATTATTCAAATGTTATTTACAGACTTGATCTTTCATAGATAGATATAAAAAAGCAAAGTATTCTTTACTTTGATACAGTAACACAAATACAACCCACATTTTCACTGTTTTCTTTGAAATATTATCAGGTTTGAGATAATCTCTTTAGCTATCATTTTTACAATATCTTTCCACAATATCTTTCACCAACATTACTAAATAATTCTCACATTTCATCTTTAACTCCAATTCTGTTAAACCACATTTAACTTGCTATCAAGCATCTTAATTTACCAATTACAATTAGTATAATCTTCTTGATT